GAATAAACGAGACCTACAATCGTCCTGGAAAGTATCGTATGAAGCTTCCGACAGTTGGTGTAAGGACTATGGGTACTGTTTTGGTGGAGATGGTTGACAAGAACGGACTCTATTTTTCAGATGATTTCTCCCTCACATTCCACATGTATTACTATAGACTGTTGAAATGGCTGCTCGTCCTACCGATGCTTGGAATGTTTGGCATACTTGTAATCCTACGTCCTCAAGAAGCTGTGCCTTTGCCATCATTTTCGCGAAACGCTGACTAAATGTTCAACCTTTATCAATGCAAAGACAGATGACGGACATTCTCACCCGAACAAGTGCAGAAACCATGGCGAATATGACATCACTGCGCACTCCGGTGAATATTTTTTATGTCCACGCTCAGATTGATCTTGGTTTGGCCCCAAAGAAACCGAGTTTTGAACAAATAGATATCGGAACTGGTAACATGGTTGGATATGAATTCAAGGAATGAGTTCCAAATCCGAGTTTTTTGTTGATTATTGTTTTAGAAGAGATGTAAGGCAAACTAACGGATATTCATTTACACGAAATTCTCTCTTGATTTTATAGTGGATGATTATCTATAAATTGGCAATTTCAATTTCATTCAAACTTACAAGTTTACTTGGAAACAATTGGTATTGAAATTATTTCGACTCTTCGACTTTCTATACTAGTGCACGAGTACTGAAATTATTCTTCGAGTTCTTCTCATACGTTTACCAACACATATGACATCAATAAGTACGTGAATTGACATTACAATTCGTAATTCAGTACCGATAAAACCAAATTCATTACTGTCTCTACTCTTCCTAGCCACACCAATTCAAAACTCTCGCTATTCCAAGTAAACATGCCATCAATAGGTTTGCTCTCAAAACCGAAGTCCCAACTACATGCTCCTATTGAACTTGTGCTACCGACTTTAAAGACCGTTGTTATTGACATCCTAAAAAAGTCATCTGGCACGGTCCAATGCACCGTAAATGAATTGCTACAGGCCAAATATGAGCAGGTTCATAATTTGATGCAAAAAGTTTATCATATAGTAATATTATAGCCAAAACTATAGAGACCCAGAAATCTAATTCCAGGAAACCCTTGTTCTATTTATCTCTCGACAAGTGAATACAATCATGTTCAAAAATACAGACCGAAAGTAGAAATAGAGGTCCAATATGCAGAATTGAACTTGATCACACGATAAAGTAGTGATTGTCACGCTCCCGTTTTCTTCTTTTGCACTTGCCTTTTATTTCTGTGCAAAGGCTGGAAGACAAGAGTCGAAAACGTGAGCGCGAAAATCACTTCAGAGTTCTCGAAAAACGAGAGCGCTAAAAGACATGCAAGACAGGCCTCTTCCCGAGCCTCTTAATCTCTCTGTCCATATTACCAGAAAGCATCAAAGCAAACATCTTGAAATCGCAGAAAAGGGACCAAAACGGATGCCCGAACGTCGCCGGAATATTCCCCTCCACGAAAAAATGGCTGTACCACGCCAATCCGTACCCAGAGAGAGGCACACAAAGCAGAAACCGCCAATCGAACAGCAGCGAGCAGAGGAGGAAGAAGATAGAAGCTAGGGTTCCTGCAAAATGCCACCGCCGCGTCGATGGTTTCGAGTGCTGGTTCATGTAGAAGGCCCAGAACTCCTCCAAGCTCCTGAAATTCATAATCTTTTGTGAAAGTAAGAGCAACCCAGTTCAGGATTCAGATTTTTGTGAAGAGACCCAAGGGAAAAAAATGATCAGAATTTGGATTTGGGAAAGATTTTGGAAGCTTTGAGAATAAACCCAGAAAAATAAAAGAAGAAAAAGAAGCTGGTGGATAATCTTTTGGGGGTTCCCTGAAATGTTGAGCAGAGAGATCTTGAGGATGGGACGAAAGAATAAATTTGGAGTTTTGGTGATGGATTATGGTTTTACCCGCTGTGTGGTTGTTGTTTGTGGAAGGATGAAACACAGCAGGGTGAAAAAAGTCTGAGAGGGTGAACAGTTTCTGTGTGTGCGTGGATTGAATAACGCAATATTTATTAGAGACTAGAGTCGTCCACGGCATTGACTTTATACCTATCATTGGATTTTTGTTATTTTTTCTTGGTTTTGACATGTTGATTAATTGAAGAGAACAAGGGGGGTTGAAGAGTTTTTTTAATTCTAATTATGGATAATAGAGTTTGATATTTCATTTGAAGAACTTGCATGGGACGCGATCATCAAAAATAACATTAATCTGCATGATAATACATTAATAAATCAGAACCCATTAGTGTTTATAAGGCCATTTTATGTAAATAGTCTTCATTTCATAGATGCTGATTTTTAAGAGCATCTTCAACAGGTATGTTCCCTATCAAGAGTTGCATGGTCGCTCAACATTCTATTTGATATGAAATGTAGAGAATAATGATGTTTCGTGATCACCAATCCTTAGTCATCAAGTGGAATGCTTTGGAATAAGCATGTCATAATTATCCTTAGTCATCAAGTGGAATGTTTTGGAATAAGCATGTCATAATTATTGTTAGTCAAAAGGTCTCCAACAGACAAAATTTAAGAACATGGTTTTTTTTTTTTTTTTTTAACAAACAATATTATTACACTGAAGGGATGTGGGAGTGACATAAACCTCACAATAAGCTAGCAGTAATGTAGTTCAAATTCGTATTTAACGAGAATCGAACATAATACCTCTTAGTTACAAATAAACAAGGATATCACTAGACTGTAATACGGGTTGACAATTTTAAGAGAATGTTAAATACTCATCTTAGATAAAATATATAAATTTAACTCTTCAAGGTAAAACATACCAATCAAAAAAAGAATAATCATTAGAATTTTAAATTTACATCTCTCAATTAAAAGAACTGAGAATTCAATAGAAAGTAAATGTAATTTTTACATCTTAAACGCATCACCCCTCCATTATGGTCTAAGGTATTAATAGTTATATACAACATCCAATAATGATGAGGAACACCATGTCAGTCAGAACGTCACAGTCATCCGATTGTGAAATGCTGCTCTTGTTCTATTGGCCCCATAGCCATTCAGATCGCTTGGTGGTAACATATGCTTGGAATTCATTGGAGGACACAAGAAGGAAATTAATATGATAAAAGAAATTAAAAAAAAAAAGAATAAACCTTATGAGTGGATGACAATCTTGCAAAATTACCGGCCAGGCACGGCTGCACCTCCCATCATACATGTGACGACGGTATATATATTTGTAGTGGTTTAATGTGGTTTTCTGTCGGTGACTCAAACGGTTCGTTGATATTCATTCGTTTAGTAAAAATAAAAAAAGAGAGCAAATACTTTACATGAGACTTTTTTTTTCTTTCTTAACCAACGATATTATTTATATTAACGGAGTGAGAAAATAAGTTAAGTCTCGCAATATGTTAGCAATAACGTAATTTAAATTTTCTTTTGAAATTTGACTGCAGTCCGACAGATCATGCAGATAGTGTTTGTGGCAGGAATTTCCGTTGGGATGTCTCCTAACCGACGAGCACACAGCTCCCCGAGAGGTTGACACTGGTTGATGCTTTCTGTCGGGCTTCTACTTCACTAGCGGGTTTGTCGGGCAAAGCTTGTCGGGCAAGGCTTGTCGGGCAAGGCTGAAAGAGAAGGACATAGTTAACTTTGAAAGGTGCCTTTGTGGGGCCTTAGGTGTAGGCCTTGAGGTTCACAATCAAGATTAACTTTTAAGTGCTCAGGTGTGCCACTGCCAACTTTAGCATGGCAGATGTAAAATGGATGTTGAGGTTTAGTTGCACATATACTCGAGAGACCATGTTAGTTATGACAGGTGCCTTTGTGGGGCCTTAGGTGTAGGCCTTGAGGCTTCCGATCAAGAACTAACCCAGTACTCGAATATATGATGTCTGTTTTATTGTTTGCAGAAGTGTTATAACCATTATACTTCTGATCATCCGAGCCCGCAGAGCAGAATGAACCCAAATAGGTGCCTTTGTAGGACCTTAGATATAGGCCTTGAGGCTTCTCATCAGAATCCCTTCTATACTCAAACGTTCTACTATAATCATAATATAATAGAAATAAAACTAAGAAATAGATCGATTACTTGCGTCCCAAGTAACTTCAAACTTCTTGTTATCAAAACTTGTCGTGGATGGGTTAAGTCCACATAAGGTTCTTTCTTATGCCTTGAGGCCAAGGACTTTTAAATGATCAATCTTACATACCTGAGAGCTTAGAACTTAGATCTGGTTTGAACTATGAAGACATATTCAAATTGGATTCAAGAGCTGAGAGAGTCTTTTAATAGTCATCTTACTAGAAATAACTTGAATACAACTTGAAGTATACAACATATTGCTAGGCTAATGAAAAGACAAAAACAAAGAGCGTCGGGCAAGGTTTAACCTTGTCGGGCAAGGCTGATCGTCTTGCAATTTCCTATCTTTGTGGTTTATCAAGGGGTTTGAGAGCTTTTAGAAAGGGGGATAAGGAGATGAGTTTACAGAAAGAAATCGATACTACAGCAAGCTTAGGACAAGGTAGCAGAGCTATTACAAAGGCTTTTGGTGATGGTTTATCCCGAAAGTGATGAAGGCTTGGGCTGACTACAGCTTTGTTTGAAGGCAAAACTAGCTTTGAGCAGAGTTTGTGCTTGTATTTGTTTGTTTGATTGAGTGTCCTTATCTCTAATTTTTCTTTCGTCTTTTATAGACACTTCGGTTTGGCCTCCTGTAACAATAATCTTGCCCGAATGCAGTTTGAAGGATAGTGACTCATCAGCCTATTTACTTGTACTGCCACTGTAAAGTACTTTTGGGCTGATTAGCTAGCTGGTCTATACTACTTGGTCCCTAGGCAGGTGAGCAAGTGGTGCAAATGATTTGCACCTAGTCGGGAAAGGCCTTTTTTGCCTTCTGGGCTCCGGCTGGGCTTCGGCTTTCTCTCCTCCTTTTGAGCCCAAAGTTTAAGTTTTAACCCAAACAGGTAGCTCTAGAATTTACCGGAACATATTGAATTAGAAGCACTTATATGATTCAGTCAAATCAAGTTCAAAATTCAGCTGCACTTACCCGAACATTATTGTATATTTTTGTAACAAAGAACCATACTGACAGTATTTGCGTGTAGCAGTTTATTGGTTTCATCGGGCCTGGAGTGTCATTGCTCTGCCTAAACCATGCCAAAACGCCCGAGGCTGCAGCGGTACGTACTCCTCACAGCAGCCTTCTGCTTAAGCTCGTTCAGTCAAGCCCGCTTTCTCCTTAATACCCAAGTAAGTTCCACCCATCTAAGCATATGTCAGAACATTCAAACTAAACTAATGCAGCAGACCAAAATAATCCAATCATAGCCATTAAATCTTCGGCATTTTATTTCCGATCTGATCTTATATCCTGTGGTTTCATTTGATCAGGATATAGCGCCACAATCCGCTGGATTTCTCCATGGTACGTTCTTTCTCATTAGCCCGCTGGAAGGGGAATGTTTATATTATGTTGTCTTCTCTCTTAAATTGGTTAGCTGACTACAACGATTCAATGACATTCGGTGCCAGGACAGTGGCAGCGATAGTCAGCACGATAGGAACTGGTTATTTTGTACAATGATTAGAATCATTTCAAGCATTTCTAACGGTCACTGCAGGGCTATATTTCGTGACGACGCTCTTTTGGAACCTATTTGCTACCGGAGAGCGCATCTTCTACACTGAAATGTCCATCAATTTTGCGCAAGTAAACGAATGTTAGGTTAGGGTAGGAAAAGATGAACATAAAATATTGACTTGGGAGTTCAAAGTTTTGAGTCATTTTTGGGCTTGAGCAACTTTTGCTTATGCAAAATGTTTGTTAAGTGCTTTTGTAATGCATTTGTTATTTTCATTCATTGCTCTTATGTTATATATTTTTAAATTCATTTGTAAGAAGCAAATTAATGTATGATATTTTATTAAATTCTCAGTGTGAAACATTCTTTTGTAGAAATAATGGCCCGTGTTGGTAATTTTGAAAACAGGAGCCGTATAGATGGAAGCTTTCCTTTCATTTTTTTGGAGAATCAGATTTTCCGGCTTGGATCACTCGGACCTCCGATTTGCTGATGTAACGACTCTCTCTTGGATCATTTGTGACTGTGTACGCCCATACGGTCAGCCAGAGCGGTCCAATGGACGATAAGAGAATAAAGGGACCGGAAATTCCCATCGTTGACAACATAACCAGAGTTAGTAGTAAGCCAGTGACATTGCCGAGGTGAAAACCAGCCATAGAGATTCCAATTGCACTTGCTCTTTCTTGGGTCGGAAACCACCTGCTCATATTACAAGCGACATGAGGATTGAATTCTGCTAAACTTTTACGTACTGAAAATTGAACGCGTCTGATAGGTTGTTTACAAAATTCCCTCATCTCTGCTATATGCAAGTGAACTTGGTTCATTTGTTTTTCCAATTCATGTATGGTTCAGTACTTCAATTCACGAGCAGAACTTGTTTACGCAAGTTACCTAAACCACGTACACCGATACATCGTTTGGTAACGAATTAAGTGACCCTAGCATTATTGTAACTACACTTAAAGGTCGAATCTAATTAATAATTATGAGCAAGGATTAGGGAGACATTACCTTGATAAGAGGGTGCTTATGGACGGGAGGGCTACACCTTCAGTGAGTCCAAAGAAGGCACGAACGGCCAAGAGGCTGGTGGTGGAATGGTTAGCAGCCCATGGAGTGAGGAGAGTTGCCAAATACCATATGGCCAAACCCCATGCCATCACTGTCTTTCCTCCATATCTGTCTACCAAAGCACCTCCAATCACTGATGAGACTGTGTATCCCCATAGAAAAGATGACTGGGATTACTGCAAAATGAATCGTTCGCATTCTAAATTGTCGATAATGAGAAGGGAAAAGAAAAGCCGAAAGGCCAAACAAGAAAAATAAATAAATTAACATCGAAACACAGAGAAGTTACTACAGGTGGTTCTCATTTTTCGAACGGCAAACCCTCAAATCCTCATATACCGAATCAACACCTTTTTGTATATTTTTTTTAGAAACCCTAGATTTACTTTTTGGGAAGGCAACTTATTAGAAGGGGAGATATTTGAAATGTCCAAAATAACCTTGAACAAAAGTCATGTGCAAGACTTATTGTGGATGAAATACTTAACGGAGTTAGGATGAGATAATAAATTAATAATTTTGAAAAGTTATTGTGACAATTGCTTAAAATTTCAATTCATATGACATTTCAAAAAAATTCTCAAAAAAAGAAAAGAAAACATAGATCCAATACCACAGTATTATTGTGTGAATACTTTTTTGTCAAAATGTTGTCGATATATCCTCGAGTTTGTTTTTTTTGTTTTTTGTTTTTAAATCACAAAAGGGTGACAACTAGTGGAGGCCATGGTTATCCATCTCTTTGGGGCCTGAAGAGGCTATGGGGAATTTCACTCTGCTCATGGTCAATCGGAGCATCGAACTCGTGACCTCCCGCATTTTTTTGTTTATTGGGGAGCCACAGTCTGCACCCTTATTGCTGAGCCACTTGGCATTGCCTTTGAGGCCGAGTTATGAATAAACTTGCCTCTTGATTATAAAATAAATAAGTTTACATCACTAGTGTTATGATTTAGTAGTATTCATTTTTATTTGGATAATAAGAAGTCTAAGTTCAACTAATGTGGACGCTTTGGTGGTTGGGACATTTTTCTTTATCTCATTGTATCCCGTGTAACCTCCCCTCCCCATGTAAATTATAAGTAGTAAATTATAGGGTAAATTACATAGTAGCCCCTAAGGTTTTAAGGTCTATTACAACTCCATACAACATCTTTAAAACATTTCACTTTCATACCTTAAGTACTATTTTATTTCAAAATAATACAACCATTACATTTTCCATCCATTGATCCGTTAAGTGCTGATGTGGCTGCCAAATGTGTGCCACGTGGTAAAATTTTTTTTTTTTTTAAACCTAAATCTTCTATTAAAAAAAAAAACCTAAAACAAATGCAGAAACCCGCAACCCAGCAAACCCATTTCCTCTACCCACCCCCCACGCCCCCGTACCCGCACTCCAGCACCTCCTTTCCTCACCCTTCCTAGACCTCCCCCCGAGCCCTTCCCAGCACCCCCCCCCCCAGAAACCTTTCCCCCCCCCTCCCGCGGCAAACCCACACCCTCCCCTCAGGACCTGCCCGCAGAGCCACCTCCGACAAGCTCCCGCATAGATGCAGAGCCGCCTTCCACAGAGCTTCAAGGTATGGTGGTTGTTGTCCCTAAGCTTATGGAATGTCCCATAATTTCCACACCCATTCCTCCCATTTTCACCTCATGAACCTAGCGATGGCGGCATAGACGGGATCTAGGTTTGTTTGTTTTTTTATTTTCTTATGGGTTGCAGGTAGGGGAGTTGGGGGAAGAAGATGAAGATGGGGGAGAAGAGATGGGAGGAGGAGGGGGGAAGACAAATTGAAGGGTTTTTTTTAATTTTTTTTTCTGGGTTGCAGGGGGAAGAAGATGAAGATGGGGGGAAGATGAAGATGGGGGAGGAGGAGAAGATGGAAGAGAAGGGGAGACGAACTGGGTTTAGGTTTTTTTTTTAAAAATTTTTTTATTTAGAAGATGGAAGAAGGGGGAGACGAACTGGGTTTAGGTTTTTTTTTTTAAATAGATTTTTTTTTTTTTGCCACGTGATACACATTTGGCAGTCACGTGGCACAAATGTGGCAGCCACGTTAACGCTCAACGGATCAATGGATGGAAAATGTAACGGTTGTATTATTTTGAAATAAAATAGTACTTGAGGTATGAAAGTGAAATGTTTTAAAGATGTTGTATGAGGTTGTAATAGACCTCAAACCTAAGGAGCTACTATGTAATTTACCCTAAATTATATATCCGGAGTAATCCGTAAATATCACATGTATTATAGAAATGTAGTTTTCAATGGTTATTAGCGTAGCATTCCTACTAAATAGGGATTTATGTAACCCTATATATTGAAATGTTTTACACGAGTCATATTTCAACTTGGTAGAAAAAAAATTTGACTCGTATGGATAATGAGTTTCAAAGTAATTAAATATTAGATAAATGATACCATACAGAAATATGACTCCTTATATTGATGTCTATAAAATGTTACAATATATATAGGGTTATAACAATCCCTGTTTAGGTAAAAATCCTACACTAAAGTTTAATTGGAAATTACATTCTTATAATAGATGCGATCATTCTCAAGAAAATTACGGAGTAATTAACTCTAATCTAACAATACCAAATTATGGCTGAGCCAAAATCTCTAACCCGCAATTTTGTTGTATTTTTTTTAGGAAAACTAAAAATATGGTTGTGCTAAAAAAAATGATACAATATATTTTTTCAAGAAAAAAATTTACTTGAGCTATTTATATATTTATTAGGTATCGAAAAAATCGAACTAATTAGCGTAAAGAAGTCACTTAACACTACAGTAAGTGAGAGATTTAGGTTTAAATTTTGTAAATAACAAGTTTATTACCAATTTGTTACCTACTTTTTAGTGTAACTTTATTATCTTATTAAAAAAATTAGTAAAAGAAAAAAAAAAACCAAAGGCAAAGTCCCTATAGAAAGGATAATACGAGAGTACCAAATTATTTAGTCTTCAATTGTTTAAGGGACCTTAAGTCTTAAGCCATGTGACTAAGGAAATAACTTGTTTATTTATTCATTATTATCCTAATTATTCTCATTGAAAACTTACTCTTTAATTTATCTCAATTGTTTTAAAATAAATTAATCGTGGTGCATATAATATAATACTTAAATATTCTCATATGCCCAACCCAAGTGCAGTAGGATTTTGCGAAGGGGGATTCTATTTAAACTCTTTAAAAAAAGAGGAGTTTCAAACCCGGAACGTACGAAGAAAATTAACTTCTCAAATTTCTTTTCTGGTCTAGGGTTTTCTCCTATAAAAAGGCTAGTCGGAAGAAACCCTAATTTGAGGTGGGAAGAAAGAGAGAGATTCATGAGGAGAAATTCATAGCTACATGCCTACAAGATGAGGTATGCATCAATCCTTTCATAACTTTGTAACTTCAATTTAAGTTATCCAATCAATTTCTTTTCAAGTTAACCTAGTTTGTAAAGCCTCCTCATCAAAACGTTGGATTTGAATCTCAGATTCTCAATCATTCTTCACAATTAGGGATTATCTATCTAATGCAAGCCATTATTGAAAACTATACCAATAAACAATGAAATATTTAGGGGAAAAAGGAAGATTTCCACCTAATTAGTGATCGGATCATATTTATATATATTTTTACTTCAAATTCACTCGTCTTTTCTTAGTTAGTTCCTCATATTTTTGAGCTATTTACGTTATTTTTGTGTTTATAGGATTTGTTATGCAAAGAAAATAAAAATAGCACAAATGGGTTTTAAATAATAAACAGAAAATTGTGGAACACGGGTGGACCACGAGAAAAATAATGGAGAGCATAAAATATATATATATATATATAATATATACATGTATAATATATATATAATATATACATATATAATAATAGATATATATATATATAAATATATATATATATATAATATATATATATATTTATATTTATAATGGGTTGTTGAAATGGAATAGGGTTGGTGAGCACCGACGGAAAAGAAGAAAGAAAGGTGCAGAGTCCACGCGGAGGAAATAAAGAAAAGGAAAAGCCAGGCAGGAGGGCCTGGCGGAAAGAAAAAAAAGGATATATACGAGACGTGCAGGGAGAAGGGGGGAGAAGTCAGGAATAAGCTGCCCTCTTGGCAGCATGAAGTCAGTAACGTGCAGGAATAAGCTGCCCTTTGGCAGCAAGGTCAGAGAGCAAGTACCGAAGGACGTTGCTTGGGTGCAGCTTGAGCACGGGATTGGGCGAGGGAGTCAGCAGGGGCCAGGTGGCAGCATAGAGGGAGCACGAGGAGAAACAGGACTGACGCAAGGAGACACGGAGACAGGCGCTGCCAATTGGGCAGCTCGTGGTGATCAGCTCGTGGGAAAGTCAGACAGGCGGAAAGGCAACGTGAGGGCAGCTGGTGGGAGAGTGAGGACCGTGAGAACAGGAAGGCAGTACGGGAATACAAGCTGCCTTTGGCAGCTGGCAGTTGACGCGCGGAAAGGAAAGTCAGCACGCTGCCTTGGCAGCGTGAAAAACCAGGAAGGCAGGCCAGCGAGGCGCAGTTCACACGGGCGCGAAAGCAGCAGATCACCTTCTTTCGGTTTACTCTCTCTAAACTTTTATTTTATTTCTGTTTTAATAATGTGTAACTAATTTATTTTAGCTAGAGGTTAATTCGAAACCATGAATATATTTGTAATATGAATTGATTACCTTCAGTTGTGATTTCTGAGTTGTGATTTAATTTGCTTAACTGCTTGATTGATAACTTATTTTTGTATGTCGATTAAGAATGCATACTTAATTTACATGCATGAATTTGATGCTAGAATATAAGTGAATTTCACCTAATCGTTATGAACTTATATTCACAAGTAGTAAAGGTTGCTAGTCACAATCACGTTAAGTAAATTCTTGGCATGAGTTTCATGCAAATCATAGTAACAAGTGCCTCGTCAATGCTTATGTTTTTCATAGAACTTAATGATTCTTGCTTGTATCTCTATTATGCAATTCATGTAGGGAACTTGTAGGGAATGTTTTGGGTTGTTGTATGCAATCATCCAACCCAATAACTTGTGGAAAAACTGAGAGTTAATTAGTGCAATTCACGGTTAATTTGGGGCGTTGAGATTTACAATTTATTGAAAGAACAACTGAAAATCAATTTAGGTTGCATATGTGTCATGTGTGGAGAAGAACCCTCTAGCTAGTCTGTCACCTATCATTTCACCTTAATTTCATGTTTTTGTAAATTCTGTAATTTATTTAAGTTTAATTTACTTTTCATCAAAACCAAACCCCCCATTATTAAATTATATTATTTAGTTAGTTTTCATTGTTTTTAGTCTTTTAATTCAATTTCCGTCCATTTCAATTCCTAGTGTCTATTTTGATTGTTTTTATTATTTTGAGTCATTTTAAGTGTGTTTCGAATTATTAGAGTTTTTAGCCTAGTTTTGTGTCCTTGAGTCTTGTTTAATATTTTTAACTTTGTTTTTTATGTTTTTAAGAGGTTTTAGCAAGCCCTCCTAATCCCCGGCCTAGAACGATACCCTACTTATACTTATACTACAATTGACAAAAAGAGGGTTTAATTTGTGTGCTTATATATTTCGCATCAATTAGTTAGAGGATTCTTCAAAGGGTAATGCCAGGGAGAAAATTTGTAAACAATAATTTGAAAACTAAGGACATGAAAGTTGATGATTGATTTATTACTTAAGCGTTGATAAACATGCTCATTCTTATTGGTGACACATCATTTAGTTTGCAAATTTTGTCTCTAAATTTAGTTTTCTTAGCATTACGCTTCTTGAAATTGAAACCCCAAACAAACATACTTTTAACTTGTGATACTTTCATCTTATTTTAGAGATATATATAATTCATGTCTTTTTTTTATTTTTATTTTATGGTCTATTTATCATCAAATCGACGTGAGATCACCCTTTTGAAACTACTTATGTAGGAAGAGCTTATACTCAAAAGTGATTTTTCTAGAAGCACATCAAAATTCTTAAAAATAAGCACTTGAAAGTGCTTTTGGAGACACTTCTCCATAAAGTGATTTTATGATTCATACACACTTTTAAGTTTTTCTGTCAAGCGTTGTTGTTAACGCTTTTGGTTGTTTGAAAGCCCTGTTAAGCCTTCCAAAAGTAGTTCAAAACATATCTTCAAAACGTTTTCAGTGTAGATACGAGCCTTTAGAATTTCAAAAGATTCTCGGAAAATATGTGGTTCATTTAGGACTAGGAATAGAAAAAATCATCATGGATATGAGTAACCGCAATGTCATGTCCAGGTGAGGTGAATATAGTCCTTTCCATTTCAAATTTAATAGGTTGATACTATTTACACATTTCTTTTTACCTCTCACACACCCGCTGTTAATTTATATTATTTGATCATCTTCAATTCATTTGTCTGACACCCAAAAATAAGACGTGTGTAGAAAGTTATAAAAAAAAAAGGTGTAGATAGCACCACTCTGTTCAATCTTGCTATAATTTTATTTAGTATCTTTTATTGCATTTATACATATAATATAATGTGATATGATTATCTTCCAAATAGGAAATAAATAAAATAAAATAACGTAACAAGGCCGTAGACTTTTAGTTGCCATCCATAGTTGAAACTTTTAAATTGTCTATGGAAGTTTTGTAGAACTCAAAAAGTCATCAATGGATGATGATATCATTGTAGAATCCTTTTAGGATGTTTTTGTTACTGATGATTGACTTGGATAGATAATTTACTAGATTTAAAACGTATTGAAGGACAACATTTGGTTTCACTTTTCTCTCCCGAAAGGTAAGAGTTTTTCTTTCTGCGTGAAAGGTCTTCTCACTGGGTTGTGAGTGGTAAAATTTTCGACGAATCACTTGGTCGCCGACCCTAGCAGTGGTCAAGGGTCGGCGGCAACCCCCTTTTCTTTGTTTTTTCTTTTCTTTTCTTCCCTCTCTTTTTATTTGTGTTTCCCTTGTTTTCCCGTTAGTTTTTCACTACCATCCAATCCCCTTATGCCTTCGATCGGTAAGCCCCAAATTCGGACCTTCCCCTTCATCTTCTTCCTGTTTTTTCACTTACATGGTTCTAATCAATCCATCTTCTATTGATCCCATTTGGCCCTATCTTCCTTCACCCCCACAAATTTCCAGATTTATAATTGCTTCCCCTTTCCCTTTTTTGCGGGTTAATTGGATGGTGCTCAGAGCTCCGGCTCGGATGTTTACACCACCACCATCCACTTGTCTGCCGTTCTCCGCGCTGTTGCTTGTGGGATTTTCCACTGGCTTCCTTTCCTTGGTGGTTGCGATTTGGATATATGTGGTTCTTGTTGCAGGTAGGTGGAGTCTTCTTCTTTTTGTTTCTGAGGCTTTGCATTGTTTGATCTTCGGTGTCTACAAGGGAAGCTGGTTCATTGTTGATGGTTGGTGCTCCAGCGGTGATAGAGGAAACTAGCTGCTTGGTTTTTCTGGTTTTGGGCCTCAAAGTTTGTGTTGTTATGGAGGCTTATATCTTTGTTTTGTACTTTTGTTGTAAGTGGGCCTCCATCTATGTATATGTGTGTGCTTGGTAATAATATTTACCTTCGACAAAAAAAAAAAAAAAAAAAAAAAACATATTGAAGGAAAAAATTGATGAAAACTTTCAATTTTTTTCAGGTCAAAGCTACAAGATGGATACTCATGAAAGAAAGTTATCACTTTTAATCTTAAAAAAAAAAAAAAAAAAAAAAAAAACGGTAGGATTGGAAGGTATCCTCTATTTTTTATTTCAAAATGCTTCAATCTAGTGAGTTATCCTAACCAAATTGATCTTCTGTGACAAACAACCAAATTGATCATCCGTGACAAACACAACCTTACAATTTACTGATGGAACAAATTTCTATAGGGAAATTTATTAAAACCCAAGGTCTTGGGTTAAGTCACCACTTAGCACTACGATCTAGTGATTTTATCTTCAATTATAAGCAAAAGATATTGGGTTCAATTTTCATGGATGGAGGGTTTGATGCTAAATTTTTTTGGCCTTCCATTATGTGGCTTGACTCATATCCCACTTCCTTAGAGCAAATATGTCATTGTACTTGGTTAGCTCAAGTTGTGTAGGAAACTGGTAAAATATAGGTTTTCAAAATCCCAACTACCTTTCATTAGTTTGAAAAAATGGTAAACGAGCAGAATCCTTCATGGATCTGAATCCTTGCTTGAAATTCTTCCGCGATCCTCGAAGTCGGAGGCTGGGCCCTGCCTAGACGTTAGGTGACTGACCACTGTCTTGATAATCTCTAAACTTTAAAAATTAAGAAATGACGCCTAGAGCTGCTGAGGCTCCCGTTTGGAGCTGCTTAAGCATCCGCTTAGACCTGTCTGGACATCCACCTAGGTCGCGACTCTCACTTAGACAAAAAACATGTTACTTTTATTTTGCATTTTTTTAATAAATCATGTTTTCAATATGTTCTACTACTATCTTATTTATATGTCATTTTATTTTATGATTCATGTATTTTAACACAATTATGTATTTTCTAGGTACAAACATGCACGTATTTATATGATATATAATAAGTTTACATAAATTCGTCTAGTCCACCTAGGCTCCTGCTAGACCTCAGTTCGCTGCTCGACTAGCGTATTTTAAAGCCTTGGTTTAACATACATAATCTTTTATCAATGATCATTAGAAAGATTTTTCAATATACTTGAAACGTATCAATCTTGTCATGCGCTTATATTATAACACGTAGTATAACAGATCATGTTTCGAGTACACATAAAAATTTATGGTTCATTAGGTATCGTTTGGTATGCAGACAGGATAGAACGAAACGGGAAAGGACGGGACGGAACGAAGAAGGAGTAAAGATGCCCTCGAATGGAAACAATGAGGAAGAAGGAGACAGAAAGGTTATAATTTTGTGTTCCACGGATGTGGAACGAGTCGTTCCAGGGGGTGAGGCGGAACAAAAATTCATTTAAAATTCGTCCCGTGGAACAACGCGTTCCACCTGTTTTAGGGGCACCAAACGTGGGACGGAACGTCTCGTCTCACTCCGTTTCGTCTCGTCCCACTCCGTTTCGTCTCATCCCACGTACCAAACGGTACCTTAGTTCCCTCCACTAGTTCCTTTATTATGATTTATTAATATTATTATTTTACATTTTTATTGTTTCATCCCAATAGATATAAGGAAAACTAACGAAAAATTCAAAAAAAACTTCCCTTTTAACGAAAAGTTATTTTTAAAGGTATAGTGAATAATATCAGTTAAAAGTAAAAATTTAGTTTTTCGTTAAAAGTAAACAGTATCGAAAATATTTTATTAAAACTCTCAATTTTAAATGCAAAATTAGCTATCAATATTCAACACAACAGTGCTTGCTTTCTTCAAAGGTTTCTCTTTTCAATTTTCAGTTTCTCCAGGGACCAGAGGTGCAAACCAGAATCCACAAGTTTCCAGAGTCCGAAACCGTCCTTCCCACCGCTCCTGTCAAAGGTACATTTTTACCCCTACACTCGCTCTTCCTTCTTTTCTACACAGTTTCTCACAACCCATTAATGGCGGTCGCCACCTGAAGCGAATGCATAAACAATGTTTTTCATCTGAACCCAAATATACTAAACACATTAGAGAATTGCCCAACCATTAATTTTTTAGTGTAATGCTGTATTGTTTGATTAACTAGGACTTGACGAAGATGCAAATTCCACTGCAAAGTTATATCTTTTAGGGTTTTGGCAGTTGCTCTCGTCAGCAAATGGTTCCCTTTAGGTTCTGTTTGGTTCGACGGGAAATAGGTCGGGATATTTCCCGGGAAAAGTTCATTTTTTGAAGTTTCCCAGCAAACTGAAAGATCTTGACCTCGATCGAAATTCCATTTTAGTGCTGACGTATTTTCTGTTTGCAAATGTACTGTTAACTTCTTCTTTTCTTTTTTTATTTTTATTTTTTATTAATGCATGTCCGGCAACTTCACTTTCTTTGCTTTTTCTTGGGAAGGAAATTACAATGTGTTTGGTATTTTTATTAAAATTTAGGAATTTATTATGTTGTTTTAAGTTTTAGAACAATACTTGGATACCCAAAAATGAATAGGAACTTATACTCAAAACTCTTAGTGTTTGAATCACACAATTTTGTGCTTATGATTAGAACCGTTCATATTATAAATTATACTGTAAAGATCATCTTTGCAATAATTGAAATAGAACTAAGGTCGTTTAGTCAATCTATTCTAACAAATGGTTCTTAATGCTTTTACCAATTCCGTTTATTTGTTTTTATACAGTTCAATAACTAAACAACATTAGTTTTAATTTATTTTTTGCAGAGGCAATCTATATAGGGTGATTTATAATATCAACGGTTCTGATTATAAACACGAAGTTTTATAAATTGGCAACGAACAATTTTGAGTAGGAACTCCAACTTATTCTTTGAGTAGCCAAATATTGTTCCAAGTTTTATAGTAAATGACGATGGCGACAATGCTATTAAATTCATGCTTAGAGTAGAAGTTTTTTGTTTGTGTCAATGATAATGACATCTCTATTCTTAGCATTCAAAACACTGGTATATTGGATGCCATTAGTTTCTAAAAACCATATTGAAGAGGATGGGTTTAGAATTCTTGAGTTCTGTTTGGCGAAATAAAACCCATTAGACACGAGTTTTGTGCTCGGACAAAGGGTCTCAAACAGTAAGAACATGAATGCTGAGTATGTAACCGATAGCAGCAGGGCTAAGATTGGCCATAGGTCTAAAAGGTTTATCTTTTACGCATATAGTTTCCCAATTGGATTAGATCCCATGAGTTGGGAGCTGACTTTGCCGAATTTCATGCTACGCATATTTTTGCTAACTGCTATAGGATTAGGTTAATTATAACTAGGTGCAATGTTTGAGTGAGCACTTGTGCGCGTTATCTTGATATGCATTGTTGGTTCATCCTCTAACAACTTAAGCTTAGCTTAAGCTTTTTGTGTCCAGTGGTAGTCTAACAGCGGTCACTGTTCTCTCTTGTGCTTCTGGAAGAAATGTGTTGTCTCTTGTTCTTTTGGATGGAAGTCTTCCCTCCTGGATGAATGGGTAGGCTTCAACCCAGGTTTAAGGAGGGGTTAAGGAAGTTAGATCAGGGTAGTGCACTTGAGTTTTTTCGAGTTTTCTTTGACTTCTTTTTGAGTTCTTGATCTTGTCATTCCACTGTGTGGGGGTCCCAGGATGGTAGAGAGCCAAGGTTTAGTGTTAAATTCGACGTTTTTACATTCCTTGTACAAAACGGAGTAATGGACTCTAGGTGTGAAAATTTATATGAATTTGTTTACTATCTATTGCTACATTGAGTATAAGCCAGAAAGTGGCGCCTGATAAAGGTGAGGAAATTTTCTACAGGGTTTGATTCGGATTTGAAGGATAACATTGCTAAAATGGTGCCATCCAGAAGTCGTAGTGGTCATGGCAATCAAGAGACTGCTAAGAAAGCTTATCTTCCAATGGGGGACCAGCTGCAAAAATGGAAATCACCTTTTGGCCTCTATGCTGATTCTGATATGTTGGTGTGGTTGAAAGGACTTGCATTGGACCCTTGTGACCGTATTGCATCTCATGGTTCATCTCGACAACTATGGAATCAGAGTCTTAAAGTGCGGAAATTCTTGCTTCTTGGTAATGCCGAATCTCCTCAGGTACGTCCAATACAACATTGTTTTTTTCTTTTAAATCTCATTCCATTGATCTCTGAGTGATAAATGTGTATTTGTTAATTTGACTGAACCATTTACCATATAAGTACGTAGGGATAATGAACAAAACTCAGCTCACATCCTAACTAATGCACATTGCACTAGTGATAAGACTAGTTATCCTGTTACATACCTGTTATCTACCAGTTTTATGCTAACATATCATATATTTTTGTTCGATCCCAAGCCTAATTTATCCTGCATGTCAAGCATACCTTAGGACCATTTCTTCAAAGATCTAACTTAAAATTGACCCCTCGTCCAATTCATAGTTGACTCATCATCGTGATTCGTTGTTTGAGGACTTATCCGAAATAACATCATATTCTTGATAAGCTCTTCCACGATCGTTACTGGAAATAGAGGGCTACTGAGCTAGCTTATGTCTTGACATAATTTTGTTTCTTCGACTTAATGACGTAACATTACTCAAGTGAAACGTTTCGGTATCCAAATTCCAAAACATTTGACCCTTGCTTACAATTGGTGATAATTTCTCTAGATTTGAGTTGCTTTCTTTGTATTTTTAGGCAATTGCCAGTTCAGAAGTTATCTCTTGCCATGAACTTCATTCTTCAGCCCCAATCTTATGAAAACTTCCCTTCCCTCCCTTTTTTGTACAGAAAAAGCGAAAACTTGATCAGTTCCTAAAAGGTAGTAAGTTCGCCGAAGTTTCTCAATTGGATACAGAAAAGTCTGATGTCCATAGTGTTAAAAGAATGAGTACAGGGCATTCTGTCTCGTCATGCTTAACCAATACAAATGCCAACCATGAAATTTCCAAACCTCAGCTTGTCTCTAACTCGCACGGTTCTGGAAGTTTGTTGACATTTGAAAATGAATATCAAGGGAAGCCATATTCTACAAATTTGAGCATTAGGGACATCGAAAATTCTGGTCCATATTGCAAGGATGATTCCACCTCTCCTATATTTGATACAGATGAATCGAACAATGGTTTGAACAAATTTAAAAACATGAACTTATGTGATGAAACTATTGAGAATGTTAACGATACAGCTGACAGCTCAGACTCTCCGAGTTTAGACGTGAATAGTACAGCATTTGAACGCGCATTGAGGTTTATGATTTTTAGTGATGATTATCTTCCAAGGTCTATTCCTGTGAGAGATATGAATGGTTCATCTCACCACTCAGATTCATCCAGATCAATAGAGCAAAATCTGAAACTTAGAGAAGCAGTGAGATTACTATTTACAGATGGTAGTCTTCCGAGGTCTGTTGTTCCGATTGGTCCTTGTTTTCAGGCAGACGTCCCAGTATGGACAGGTCCAATAAACAGAAAAACTACTCATGGTGGTGATGGTGATTCAGCAGCGTCAAAGTGGTTGGGCACGCGAACGTGGCCCGTTAAAGGAAAAAGTGCCGGAACCACTGTGAAAGCACTTGGGAAAGGGAGATCCAACTCTTGTTCTTGCATTTCTCCAGGATCTGTAGGTTGTGTTAAACACCACATTCATGAAGAAAGACTCCTCTTGCAATTTGAACTTGGTCCTGCCTTCCGGAGTTGGAAGTTTGGCGAAATGGGAGAATTTGTCTCAAAGTCATGGACATCAACTGAACAGCGGACCTTTGAATCTCTTGTGAAAGTGAAGCCACTATCAAATGAAGCAAGTTTTTGGAAGATTGCCTATAACCGTTTCCCTTCCAAGTCCCGGAAGAGTATTTTGAATTACTACTACAATGTGTACATCCCTAGACGTATGAGCCTCCAGACCAGATCCTTCCTCGATAAAATTGACAGCGATGATGATGAGACGGAAGAGTAACAGAGGTAGCTGTAAAGATGTAAATCTGTAGGGGTAGCTTGATGTTGGCTCTGTCATATGCTTTGTCCCTTTAGGTTTAGCTCCAGGGCAATTTTGAAGACTGATCAGAGCTATTTTGGGTTCATGAAACCTTACACCAAAATTGAAAGTAATTTTGATACTCAGTTACCTCTGCTTTGCTTTCTTATGAACTTGTTTGATGTGGTCTTTTTGTATTTAGTTGTCTCATATCTTCTTGGTTTTTATTCCGAATCCAGAGAGAGCCTACAGAGATTAGGCTTTGGATTCGTTCTAGCATTCTTTTGTCATGGAACGTAGGGTAGCAGTCAAGTTTTCCGATTCCAAATGTTAATCTTGACGATTATTTTGAAGAAGATGTGACCTCAACGTCATCTCAGAGGTCTCCGGGACGTGATAAGCGAAAGAGGAGAGAAAGATAGAAAGATACAAGAACAAGATCCAGATGTTGCCAATTGAGCATTCGGAATTGAAGTATTAGTTCAAAATAGTGATGGTAACAACGTGGATAGGGAACAAAAAAAGAAGGAACTGTTTGAGGTAAGTGTTCCAAGTGTTTACTAACACTTTAGGAATCAATCAAACATACAATTAGAGCTCACCCAAAATCAGGATTACACTCCTGAATTTTTAGGAATTGGACTCCATATAGGGAGGTATATTTGGATTCCTAAAAAAGTGTCCAACTTTTGTACCGACACTATCCTATTGTTTGCAAGCCCTTATAGGAAGGTGTGTTTGGAATCGTGTCCTTGAATTAGATCCCTATAATTGAGTGCATGTAATAGAGGTAGGTAAGTTTTGGATCGAATTGCGAGTACTCAAGTTAAAAATCAGAGTACGCATAACAGACGAACGAACAAACGATTTACAAAATGTATAGATTACTCAATCAACTAAACATAAGAGAATGCCGAGATGGCTATATAATTCGAAGAGACTACATTGTAATTAACATAATTCTCATACTAAACTACAAGCCATATTTATAAAATGCAAAACTTAAGAAACCCTAATTTAGATGGCTAGGCCTAAATCCAAACAATTAATTTTCCAACAGTCCCGTCAAACTCATGGCAGTATACAATAGGAATTTGCCAATGGACAGATGTGGATGCAAGCTTCATTACTTCTAATGCCAATTCTCATATGAAAATCCATCAATGTAAGTGCAAGTTTCCACTGCTAGTGCCAGTGCAAGATTCCATTGCTAGTGCTAGTGCAAGATTCTACTACCATTGTTAGTGCGAAATTCCAACGTCAGTGCCAATGCAAGATTTCAACGTTAGTGCAAGATTCCAATTCCCATTCCAACTTCCAAACAAAAAATCTAATTTCTCTAATCACTCAAGTAGTCAGAAGTCCAAGCACTCGAGAGATTGCCACATAAAATTAAAAAACCTGACAACATCAAATACATTCCAATTCTCATCCTATTCTTTTTTAGGTTTCAAACTTTCGGATTTGAATTGGACATCATATTTTGGAACTTTTCGGTTGGGAGTCAGTCGGAATCAAATCTAAAAGTATATTTCATATATAGGTTAAGCAAAATTGGGTAAAATAGTGTACTCCCTCGACTGCGCCCAAGTTTAAACCCTATAATTTAGAAAAATTTAGTGCAAATATCGCTTATACAAAAAAAAAAAAAAAAAAAAAAAAAACAATATTTGTCAGGGAGTACTAATAAAAAGTCCCTTACAAAACTTTTTTTAATTGAAAAATACTTAATCAACGGTTTTTTTATTATTAGGACGTCTTTTGTGACACACCCCAACATGGATGGAGCAAATGAAGGCCCACTGGGGGCAGATGCCTCCATTCAAGTAATTCGTTGGTTATATACTACAATTATAGATATATATGCGTTATCCTTAAAGAAAATATATGTGTCTAATATCAAGCATACCTTCATACTACTTCTACTCTATATCAAATATAATATGAGCAAAAGTGGTATTTTTCTGTCATTCAAACTGAAAAATCCCTTCTCTACCTCTCATGTGTTAATATTTTTTTCATCAATTTGTCACTTTCCACTACTACTGAAATTTTTGTAACATTACAATTGTGAGCATCGTCATTTGAAACCATCCCCATTATCATTTGGTTACAAACCATACTATAATAAGGTCTTCTTAGTGTTTTTCATGTTGCCCCCACTAAAAGAAAGTTCTAGCTTCGTCCCTGCACCCCGACCTAGATCAAGGCATGCTGGCCGTCACATGAGGGTTACGTAGCCATGTGCATAGGGCGGAAGCAAAATTGATATAAGAAATACGAATGAACAAAAACCAAACCAACTAGAGCACTAGATAAGATAAGGTGCAAGTGCGATAATCAGAGCATAAGTAGCTTAAGTGCAATCCAGTAGGACGAATACTAATTATACAGTATCAAAAATGGTCCTACATTAGTGATAATCTGTCAGAGCTGCCGTGAGTTCCTCGTGAGCCAACAACGCGCACTCCTACCTAAAACTTGGAAGGGCGCAAAACAGAAAGTGAGCGAGCAAAAACAAAGCTTTTCAAATCCATTTCATTTATCAAAGTTCTAACCCCTCGCCATAAAACCTGTATAATTTCCCAGAATGTAGGATATATATATATATATATATTTCTATATATATATATACATTTTCTATATATATACATATCACAAAATCATGCTCAAAAAATGATATTCATAAGTATGCCATGCCAAATATCTCAAAATGACAGAATAAGTAACTCAGGTGAAATAACATATCAGTCGGATCCACCTAAAGTGGCATGTACAGCTGAATCAATAGCTCCACAAGTATGCCTACACATGAGTCGGAACCACCTATAATGATCTGTACGACATGACTGGGTGTAAATAAATACGCTCTAGTGCTACGATCACGTGAAGATTGTGCGAATAATTGCGGGTCACCTACGAGCCAGAACCACCTATAATGGTCTGTACTAGAGGACTGGGTGTAAATAAATACGCTATAGCACTACGATCACGTGAAGATTGTGCGAATAATCACGGGTCACCTACGAGTCGGAACCACCTATAGTAGTCTGTACGACAAGACTGTGCACCTAACTTGGATCTAAGGTGAGCGTATGGCGCAGGAGGTGAACATCACGTGAAGGACTGTGCCCTAACCACAGGCGGGAGCACTAACACCGGGGTGCAGGTTTATGAGCTCTCAACACATCTCACATAATCATCAATTCACATAAACAATCTACATCCCACATGTACCTACTTGAGCGTCCACAGGGTCGAACATAGATATATGCAATTACTATACTAATTCACAGTCTAAGCATAAATCAATAGGCATGGCATTTCAAAACATAATTTCATTTAAACATAATTTCTAGGAAAAATACCAAGTATATAAGTATATACTAAAAACCAAAAGCCCACTCACTGATATGTGGAAGGGTCGTAACCCCTGAGCCTTGCTTGACTACGCTCGTCCTCAGGATAGGTCTCACCTATATGCGAAATAACTATTTAAACGTTATTTTAAAGCACATACACAAAACTAGGTAATAACTTCTCATACATTGCTCAATTGGGGTATTTGAATATACCACCATGACCTACTCAACCTTAGGAACATCCCCATATTTTTAGAAAAAATTTCCGAGCACTCACGCGCCGGCCAAGACACAGCTAGACGCTCGGCCCACGTGTAGGCATGTGCCTAGCACACGGACGGATTCCCTAACGGCGTTCGGGAATATTCCGTTAAATACTAGCATATACCGTTAAATATACCTGACGCTGTTAACATATTCCGTCAACTTTGACGGAATATTCTCCTCCTTCAACCTTGGTTCGCCGAAGTCCGACGCCGGTGCCGCTGCGATCGCTGGTTTCTGGAAAATCTTAGAACTTCAATATCTTCTTCATTTCTCAACCAAAATGCACGAAATTTGTACCAAATTGAAGCTTAAGATGAGAGGAACAATTCCTTACCACTCTGGGAACCTAAAACCAACGGAAACTTGCCGGAAAAAAAGTCACAATAATCCGGCCACCCTGCAACTTGTCAAACTCGAGTTTCCTAACGTCCAAAACCTTCCAAAATTAATCCAAAGTACTAGAAAAGCAAGAATAGAGCCTTCTTAAGTCTCAAAACTACTTGAAACCTTCGCGATCACGTCGAGTCACTGTGCACCTCTTCGGGGGTTTCCTGGTTCCCGAGTTCCCGACGTCCTCACATCCAACCAAAAGTATTGCTCGACTCCTGAGCTTGAAATGAGCATGAAAACAACTACCAAAACCCCGATCTGCGATTAGTGAGCTAGGTTCGAGGTGGTCCGTACGGTTGTACGAAAATGGAAGAAGATCCGACAGGGAGGAGAGAGAGATAAAGGGTTAACGGGATTGGTTGGTGTGTGTGTGGTCCAGTTTGCAGTCAACCAACCAAAACCTTAGGCCTTTTAGCTCTAATGAGGTCCAATTAATTAGGAATATAACTAATTGGTCCAAAACTTTAGGCTATACACACACAACTCAACAATTAAAGGGTATAATAGAAATTTCTACGCTCTCGAGGATAACATAATATATATGTTCAGGACGGGCCGTCACATTTTGTATTATAAAGACAAAAAACAAAAGAAAAGAGTCACACTTCATGATGGTTTTGAATAAAAAACCAAATGTCTTAATAATAAACAAAGTATCCCTAATATAAAAAGGCGCCCTCAATGTCAATGATAAAGAAAGGTGTCTAAAAATTTTTGAATAAAAAAAAATTGTGATGGTCCTTTAATTAATTTTCTACATTTGTTATGATCAATTATATGGATAAATTATGAGTATATACAATCAAATTGGTTTCAATTCCAATCAAGAGAATTAATAAACAGTTTATTTGAAATCTTCATTCTTATTTTGATTTCAGATAATTTAGTAAACAAATTTGAGGAATCTCAACTCCTCAAACAAGTATTGCTCATTCCGATTACGAATTACTAAACACGTCAATCATTGTTATAGAAGAAGAGAAAGGTTAAGTAGATTTTCTTAAAGTGAGACTTTTCATAAATTCTTTGGCACCTCACGGAGTAACGTTAATTTACATACCAACATTATAAAACATTATATAAAAAAATAAGATGATAAAGAATTCACGAATAATTTTATTTTTTAGAGTCTCCTTA